AGACCTCTATAGGAAGAGTATATATTCATTATATTAATGGCTCTGAATAGAGCAAGCCAGCCGTATTAATTTCAATAATTATTGTTTGTTTATGTAATCTATATGGTTTTTTTTTAATACCAAATAAGGTCGTTATACTGCATGAGGGTTTTGTTTGACCCCCCCCCCCCCCCCCTCCCTTCCCCTAAAAATAAAGTTCGGGTGACTTTGACCATCCTTGAGGAAAATAAGTTTAGAATACTAATAGTATATAAGGACAACCATAACATTGATATTGAATTACCAATGATTTTTTTTTTTTTTTTTTTTTGTCAAGACATGTCAAAATAGTAAGGAAATGTTGAAGAAAAACAAATCGAAATACATCAAATCAAATCAAATCAAAAAGCAAAACAAGAATTTCTCTTCATGGTAAAAAGAAGAAAAAGTGGGTAAAGAACTGTATGAAAAACAGGTTATATCTCAACAGTCCCCTAATCCAGCAAATCATCGCTGTTTATGATCTCCAAACCGTGGGCTCTGTGTGGCCTACATCTGACCAACGAATCTGACATGAAATGCCACACAAAATAACAGGAGAGATCAGTCGCTGCAGCCGTCACTCCGTAAACACATCGGGAGAAGAAAATAAAAAAGCCATCGGACATATGGCAGCAAAAGATGCCGAGCCCGCCCCGCTAAGGTGCCGCCTCGGCTCCGGTGATTTACAGAGGTCGCTAACAGACATCTGAGTCGAAAAGCCGCCGAGCTGCCGAGGCGAGAGCGGATAGAAGGCCGAGACTTGCCATTAATTTTGCTGGTTGTGGCAGCGCTGATAGATGGCTGGAGACGGCGAGCTATGAGCTCGACGAAACACACTTTCTGTCGTCTCTAAATTCTCTAGAATTGCTTCATGGGGGATTTAGAAAGCGGAAATATGGTTTAGTGAAGAAGTAATAGTTAATGGGTAACAAGATGTTTGATTTTGTTACCTTATTTTAAGTGAATTTTCCGTTTTTGATTTTGTGATAAGTGAGAGTGGTCAGACACTTTGCATCCGCGGAAATGGACGAGACAAGATTTATATACCGACATAATCACGGGCGGATGGAAGGACATTGATGTTATGATGTAAAAAAAACTATCAACCCCTCTCCTTCTATAAAGGTACTATGTCCCTTTTGCAGCCAACCTCAAATTATGTAGAACTTTGCAGGAATTATGAATATGTCATGACTGTATGTCCTATCTGTGAAATTTAAACGTTAGCAGTGTCCTCATATTCAAATTATGCAAGGAAACCCGTTTACTTGCTAGACTTCACTGTCAGACACTATTGAGTGACTGACTGGCTTTTTTTCTCTTTTGGTAATAACATACATGAAAAGAGTTGTAAAGGGTACATGAGCATTTGTCTACATCAACAACCCACTTCTTGTGATGGCCAAGATCAAACTGATTGAATCTTTGCGCAGCAAAAAACGTATGACCATTTGGTACAATCAAGACTATTACTTTTGGGCTCTATAGCCCTAAAGTCGATTTGACAACTAATAGTCGTTATTTCCCACTTGAAGACATTTTCAAGCCCCACCTTTATTAGGGAAGTTCTAAATTAGTATTATCTTTCAAATGCAGTTGGAATTTAACTTTTTCATTTTTTGGGCCTGCAAATGGGACATAGTACCTTTAATATATCTTGTATTTTTCTTCATTATCTCACGCATCTACTCCTTCTATTTTGCTGCAAGAAACTGCCTATTCACCATGTTCAATATAAATTTCACAGTCACATAAAACAGAAACATATTTCATTACGAACCGCAACACTACATATTTATTTTGCACACAATGTAACATATCATTCTATTGGCTCTGATTTGTCCCCGTTCTCCATAAAGTAAGAAAGGGAAAAGATAATATCAAAATGATTTAAAATGGTGTCATAATCCCACAGAAGCATATCTCACCTTGAAATAAAATTGGTTACAAATACCGGGATGGGAATTGTTTAGTGTTAGGGTTGCAGAAAATGAAAAGATGTGAATCACCTTTATGCTACATCTTAAGCGAAAAAAAATATATACCGTATACGTATACATGTACATATACAGAAATACAGAAAGAATCACAGAAAGGTTTGTCATCACAAGAAATAATAATAACAAACTGTTGAGGGCGCTAATCCACTCTCATGAGTAAGGGTCCAGCGATCAAAATACTGAAAGGACAACAGTGGTAAAAAAATCATGATTAGTATTCAAAACAGGCGTCATTGTCCTCTTTTTATATCCAGAATTGTTATATTATGTAGTTTTAAACTTCAAAATATTACCTTGAAGAAGAAAAGATACATTTAAACAAAAGGAAAATTGATAATAATGAAAACGACGATAATGAGGATGATGATGATGATGAAGACTACTACAACAGCGATAATTTGGCTGTTTACATATATATTATGAGTTACTAGTATTATAAAGGATTCGGTGGCTTTTTGATCATAGTTAACAAAATTATCCAATTAATATCTGCACAAACCGCTATAAGAGAAAACAACAAATAATTGCCTTGATTCCTCGCCAACTAGTAAAAAGTAAGCAATGCAAACGTCAGCAAAATAATCAATTTAGATCCAACACTTGATGCAATAATTCAATTTTTCGTCTCCAAAATATTAATAGCTACCAAACAAAAAACACTTGGTATCTAAATTACACTCTGTTATATTTTCATCTTTTTTTATTATTAGAATGGAACTTATATGTAATAAGCATCGACATGATTTGCTATATAGAATGATGTGCGGTCTGCCGTTTTCTTCACTTTATAGATTATAACGCGAGATGGCGCTATTCCACTTACATCAGGAGGGCTTCTTCACTGGATCGGAGTGAAGGTGAGAGGATTACGAACAAAGAAACAAACACATGAAAAGATTGATTCCAAAAAGAGAAGAAGAAAAAACACTCAATCACTAAAGTTTGATGAAATAATTCAGATGAAAATGTTCAGATTCAAAGAAGAAACATAAACAGTTGTTTAATTAATAATAAAATCTACATCACTAAGAAAGAATAGCGATAACAAACAAAAAAGACAATGGGAAATGGAGGTTATGAGCCCCATTCGTTTGACATATAATAAATAAATCCCATGCTCATTTGGATCTCTCGAGTTTCATGCTCTCATCGCCGTATCTCTCTTTCTCCCCCCCCCCCCTTTCTAACCCTCCAAATTGCTTAATTTATGGCTTTTTTCCATGCCCTTTGTCTCTCTGTTGCGCTCTACCACTCTCTCTCTCTCTCATCCTATTTCTTCACCTCCCCCCTCCCCCACCTCTCCTTCTCTCTCTCTTTCTCGCTCTTTTTCAACTACTTTTCATTCTTCCTTTCTGTAGTTTTATCTATGACCTTTTCTATTTTGCATCAACTATTCTTCCATCCTTTGTTATTTTGTATCACTTTATCCTCCCTTTTCTCTTTCTACTCCCCTTTCTTTCTATTACCATTCCTTCTTGTTATTGCACTCACATGAATCTCTCTCTCTCTCTCTCGCTCTTTTTTCAACTACTTCTCATTCTTCTTTCCTGTAGTTTTATCTATGACCAGCCCTTCATTGATGAATATGAACATTTTACATGTTGCACTTTACGGTTTACAATATGATGCATGTTCAAAAGATTTTTTAATTCAGCAGCTCTTTATTTTTATTTTTTTATGGACAAAATAATTCAGTTAAAAGAATGAATTTGAATATTCAGATCAATCTTTCAGCATTGATTGTAGCAAAATCATTAATAAATTAATTCTAATTTTTATAAGTTTAATGAGTACATTGATTAATTAATTCAAATTCAAAACAAAATAAATAGAAATCATAAATGAGTTTGAAACCCTACTTAAAGTTAACACGATTCTCATTAAAACAAAACCGAACTACAGTAATATTCTGGCCGATAATTTTAAGCTGTTTGATTTTGAGCTTCTAATATTGTCAACAATTCTATGTAAACTTGGTGACCTTATAATTGCTCTGACCTTCATTTTATGAAAGATATAGTGTTGAGATTGTGTTTGCAGTTGAGATTTAGTTTAGGTTGAGAATTAGGGTCAAGAATAGTGTTTGATCATGGGTTGAATTTAAGAATTTGGTTAGCATAGGAAACTGTCGCCAGAATATCTGTACTAGACGTTTAGAGCATCAATCAGAGCATCGTAACAAATTGAATCAAAAATTAGAGTTGACTGAAGGTTGATAGTCCCACTAGAACATGGACCGGCTAAATCTTCCCAAGTCAATTCTATTCTAAATGAAACATAACTACTATTCATCTTGGACTTCACTTCCAAACGTTTCTCAGCCTCTCTAATACTAGGTACCGGTACACAGGTCGATCATCCAATGTACCAGGAACTGCCATTCTGCAAAGATCTTGAAATTAGAAAACTGCCTGAACTCTGAACATTGACATGCCTGCATGAAACAGACCTTACATAAGCTATATCACTAGCAGGCTGTTCGGAATACATGTACGGTAGTTGTTGATGGAAAACAATTGTCTACTTCTTTCGATGAGAGACAAAAAAGCGCTTTCTTTTCAATTTCACACCTCCATCTACGTTTCTGGATCCATCTATGCCCTCCCTCGCCCCCATCCGAGAAGAGAGTTGACAAACTCCCAATTATATCACAGACAACATGAATGACATTATCGATGACATCATGGAAAGTCCACATTTCCCCTAGGTAATAAACAGGCTATTTGGAATGATGTTTTGTGCCGAGTTATCTTCTTTCTCCTGATCAGAGTGGCAAACATTCTTTGCATAATTTCTGGCACAGTTAAATTATGCCTTTCTTCACCCCATAAAAGGAAAGGCAATGACCTTCTATCATCTCAAGGATATCCTCAATGTCATTGTCAATGACATATATGACAAGTTATTTCTCCGCGCAATTCAAATTAAGCACTGGTGGCAGGTTACTCTTTTATCTCATCAAAGCGACAAACTTTCTTCTTTGCATTCCCCTCCCCCACCTGCACAATTCAGTACCTCCCCTCTCCCTACATGAGAAAGGGCAACAACCTTCACCTCTAGAACACCTTGAATGACACCATGAATGACATTGTCAATGACGTCCTCAATGACATTCTCACTGACATCACAGAAGGTGCTCATTTCTCTAGACCGATCAGCTCCTCTGGTCTCTTGTACTTCCAGTCTGTCTCCGTCAGCCAAACCATCTTCTTACGAAGGTCATTCAGTCTCTGCTCGTGGATCTCTGTAAATACAAAATATGGTAAGGAAAACAGGTTAATAATACATGTTAAATCTTTCTTAAAGCCTATCTACACTAGTTTGGCCAGGAAGGATTAGACCTCCCTGTGTGGTCACTGGCAGGTGGTTATCTCATCAAATCAGCTGTCACTTGACATAAGAAAAGGGGACCGTTGGGGACCAACAGGTACCACTTAGGCATTGTTGGCTACAATGTATATAGAGGGCGCAAGTAGTGCAGTCCCACTTTAAAGGCAGGGTATTTCAATAACATCACTACCACTGCTGTAGCAGTGAAGGCCTACATAGAGCGATTTGTACCCCAATTACCAATCACAGGCACATCATCAGTTGGTGATGCATTGTGGGACATGGATGTCGACACATTGGGCCATTGTGAGCAGACGATGGCAGTGTACATACATTGAAAGTAGTGTCAGTAGAATACCCTCTCTTTTATATCAATCTGTCTCCTTAATTCTTGTACTTAATCTAGGAATGTAAGTTTAGTTATTATTGTTTTTTTATAGTTTTTTTTTTACAGAACCAATGAAAAGTGACTGTCACTCTTGATGAAAATAAAGGTTCTACTTAAAGGTACATGTACAGTGTAGTCACGATTTCTAGTCTTTGACTGAAAAATTAAAGATTATAGCATCATACCAAATATACACTGTTCACTACGGCAAATACCCACAAATAATACTTACAAAGCAATTCAGTTTGCAACTACAAGATATCTGAGCACTTAATAGAGCAAGATTTTAGAAAATTTAAACCAGTTGTCTAGAAAATAAAACAGAATACCAACTCTGGTGTACATTTGAGCTTTATCAAACATTTAAAGGTCTACTTTCATCAGAGTGGCAAGACTCACCTTTCTGTAGATTTTTCACACAGTTCTCTGTCAGCTGCTCAACTTCCATTTTATCCAACTGTAGATCTGGAAATAGAATTAATAAAGTGTGAGTATGTTGCTGGTGACTTATTGTTGGGTAGTTTTTACTTCCATTTCAATTAGGCCAAATAACAAAAATAATGTGTTTCTCGTCCGGACTTTAAAAAAAGGAGGAGGCAGGGCATTTCTATTTATGAAGGGGTGACCAAAGTTCGCGGACGTTTTAGAACACATTACAAAATGTGATATTCGATCTATGATTTCTCATATTCTAGACACATTTATTTATTTCAATTATTACCAAATGGACAGCAAAGTTTTTTGCTACAGATCGGTTCAACTAAAAAAAATTATCGTGGAAGGTTTTCGGAGATATCGCGATCTAAAATCGAGCAAATCGAGGATCCAACAAGAATACCGACACAGCTGACCCGACACAGCATCACAATCATATCTATGGCATGCGTATCTTTCTTGCTCCCTCTACGAGACGACTCCACCCAACAACCCCCCTCCTCTCTCATGCTCATACCCCTCCCCTCTCTCTCCTCTCTTTCATCACCCGTTTCTTTTTTTCTTTTTTTCCTTTTCTCATTTTTTTGTTTTCCTTTCTTTCCTCTCTTTCCTTCTTTTTCTTTTTTCCATTTTTTTCTTCTCTTCTCTTCTCTTCTCTTTCCTCTCTTTTTTTTCCCTCTCATTTTCCCCTCCTCCCTCTTTTCTCATTTTTTCCGACGGCAGCGCAATTTTACCGACGCCCCTGTATGTATAGACACTTGCATGCATAAACAGAAGTGCATGGGACTATTACAAATTTCAAGGCCGAAAAAAATGGCTTTATCTTCAAAGAAGAAAGTTTAATGACTCACCTGCAGACTGGGTATCTTCAATGGCAGCCGGTGATCGAAATAGAGCTTTTCTTGGGCTTGACGTAGCCATCCAGGGCCTTCCTGAACCAGGATTACTTGGTGGGGTTGAGGGACGGTTGAACGAAGCCATTCTATATGGTTGCATTTCTACTTCCGGTTCCACTGGCGCACGTACGCGCGCGCAACTGAAATGATCAACTGGTATCAGTCCTAAATGAACCTCGCAAACATGGCATCCGCAATACATGGGTATTACTATTACGGATTTTTATTGTTAATTAAAATAGCTGAGAGATGTTGTAAATGTATATAATTTTGTTAGGAATGAAAAAGGGAGAAAATTATAGAAAGTATATAATTATTATTAATAAAGAGAGAGAAAGAGGAGAAGAAAAAAATTAAGTAATTGGCAACAATAGTCAAGTATGACTGATTGTTCTTAAATTATAACGAAATAAGAGGAAGGAACGTGGTATTGTATTTTTTCCTTCTGCTCTCCTTCTCAGTAATTTTTTTCTCCCTTATTTGATTCGTAATCACGCAATATAAGAATGATATAACGGTGAACCATTTGAGCTGAGACCAAAAAGATAAGCGGTACCTTACAATCTTTTGCAGAAAAAAGGGTTTCTTTCTAGTTTGTAATTTAGGGGGCATTTTTGTTGTTGTTATGCTTAGGGTGTGTGGCAGCCCATCAGTAAACTTTTCAGTCGTGACATTTGATTCCTAAACTCTTTTGCTACAGATATTTGTTGATTATTGTGTGCTCCCGATCAAAAGTACTACTTTGAAAATATTGACCCCCCCCCCCCCCCTTGATGCCTTTCTGGCTTGCACCGTCTTAAATATAACACGCATACACGCACACTCTCTCCTTTTTTAATTTTTTTTAAAAACAATTTTGTTTTATTTCTCCAGATGTGTAATACAAACCATGACATACAATTGAATAAAAATAAACGTGTTCAATATTGATGCTTTTACATAAACATAATTAAACACAAACTTATTTGCAGTATAATATAACTTAGCAACAAAGTAAACGTATAAGTACCTAAACATAATATGTCAATTGTAAATGTTATTTACTTATATATTACAAAAAAAAACAAATCTGGAGGTAATTTTACTGAAACAATCCTGCCCCCTCCCTGCCCCCTCCATCACACAGACATACTCACCCTCTATCACACAAACATACTCACCCACTCACACACATACTCCCCCACCCACCCACCCACCCCCCCCCCCCCCACACACACACAGTACTCACTCAGTGGATGTCTGCCAACATTCTCAACTCAAGAAAAATATACTAAATAAATTATCCAGGCCGCAAAATCGAGTTACGCTTTTAACAGGCTCACGGTGGAGAAGAAAGCAAATCTTAATTAATCTTAAGCTGCTCCCACTTTAAGAAATGTGATCCTAGCTTTCCCATTTTAATTGCTATTTTCTTTTCCTCATCCCTATACTTAAAAATGTTTTTTTTCATCTTTTCTAAAGTTAGTACTCGCCCCCCCCCCCCCCCCGATCTTGACATAAATGTAACATACTTCACCATGAAAATGATAGTATTACACATTTTTATTCTATATGAACTACCTACCAACCCAACAAATATATCTCGCCATTCTAAATCTTTAATTTCATCTAACTCAAAAAGTTGTATTAAAGCCTGCCATAACCTTTGAACGCTCCCACAAGATAAAAATAAATGTTTGTATGTTTCTATTTCCTGCTTACAAAACGAACATAAATTATCACCAACAAAACCAAATCTATGAAGATGCTCATTAGTGTATATGGCTCCATGCAATAATTTAAATTGAAATTCACGTTGTTTTCTAATGAGTATAGTAATTCTTGGTCTAACAAATATTTCTTTTAATTCTTTATCTATAAAATCATAATCATTTTGCCCATCCCTTACCTGCAAATCATACGTTCGTTGCAGTGCTTTGATAAAATAATCATAGATTGTTCTTGAACCCACATCCACAAACTGTATTTTTTTACTAGAAATATGGAAATAAGTGTTAAAGCTTATCAAATCAACCTCGAGGAATTCTATTAACCCTGAATCATCCTTCCATAACCTGGGTATCGCATCATAAATATCAATAATCATAAGCAAATTATTACCTTTCATACCGAGGTTCATAAAATATTTAACAGGCTTAACATGACCTTTCTCAACCAAATGATTCAGTTGAACAATCCCTCTTTCAAACATGTATCTATCAAATATACTTTTCCCATTTATACATATATTCTGATTATTAAAAATAATTGGATTAATATAACCCTCCAAATATCTTAAATTACTTGTCTCTTGCCATGCTTGCAACATTTCCATATAGTATGGTGGAATATCTAAAACGAGTTTAATCTTGTTTAAATCATAATCACATAAAAAAATAAATCTACCACCCACAAACTGTAAGCAATGATCAAAAAACAATTTCCATCCCAAACTTTTCTCTCCATATAAAAGACGTTTTATCCACATTATGCGCTGTATTTTAACGGACATTTCAAAATTAATCATTCTTAATCCTCCAAAGTCATAATCCTGATACATTATTGCCCGTTTAATTCTATCTTTCCCCCTCCATATGAATTCAAATGAAATTTTTGCAACTTCTTTATATACCCAATGAGGGACAATAACGAGAGATGAAATATAATTTAATTTTGAAAGCGCGTAAGTTTTTAGCAAATGTATTTTACCCATAATAGTTAAATCTCTTTGTTTCCACCATACAAGCAATTTTTTAATTTTACTTAGAATTTCTTTATAATTCAAATCATCTTTTAATCTTCGATCTAATGAATAACTAACCCCTAAAATATGTATTTCCTTAACCAAATTTCCAAATAAAGGCCCATCAGGTTTGTTCTCATCCTCACCCATCCACATAAAATGTGTCTTTGTTTTATTCACTTTAAGACCACTAATTTTTTCAAATGATTCAAAAATATATTGCAACCTTCTAACCGAATCAATATCCTTCAAAAATATTGTCATATCATCTGCATATAACACTTGCCTAATTTCAGATTTTCCAAATGTAATCCCTTTAATACCGTTGTCCCTCCTTACTGCATGCGCCAAAATTTCGATGGCAACCAAAAACAAATATGGCGATAATGGATCCCCTTGCCTTACTCCCCTTTCTATTTCAAAATACCCCGTGGAGTGACCACCGTTCATAACACAACTACTTATCCCTTTATACAATAATTTTACCCAAGAGCAAAATGAATCTCCAAAACCGAACAATTTCAATATTTGAAATAAATATCTATGAGATACAGAGTCGAAAGCTTTCTCAAAATCCACTGCACACAAAAACCCTTTCCCTTGTTCCCCATAATGCATAGAATAAAATAACATGTCATCTATCAATCGTACAGCTTCCCCAATATTTCTATCTTTTATATATCCAACTTGATCATGATGAATTATTTCATTTAAAACTTCTTTCATTCTTTTTGCTAGAACTTTAGATACAATTTTATAATCTACATTCAAAAGCGTGATGGGTCGATAATTTTTTATATGGAGAGTATCTTTCGCTTCCTTCTCAATTAAGGTAATTACCCCTTGTTTTTGAGATGCCGTTAATTCCTCCCTTTCGTATGTTTCATTCAATACTTCTACTAACAAATCACCCAAAGCTGGCCAAAAAGTATAATAAAATTCAACTGTTAACCCATCATTTCCCGGGGTTTTATTCAATTTCATTTCTTTTAAAACTTTCAAGCATTCATCTTTAGTTAATTTACCTTCACAGATTTCCCTATTGTCTTCATTTAACTTTGAAATATCATTAAAAAAGAAAGGGTCGTTTTGATTTATATCAGCCCTTAAAGAATATAAATCTTTATAAAATAGTTTAATTTCCTTTAAAATTTCCTCCTTATCTCTAGTAGTTTCCCCATTTTCTTTGTACACCTCCCTAATTACACTTTTCCTTTTATTCGATTTTAACAACTGTTCAAAATATTGCGTATTGTTTTCTCCATCTTCAAACCAAGGTGCACTTGATCTTATTTTAATGCCCTGTCGAGAAAAATCATACAATTTATTTAGTTTATCCCTTTTCTCCTCAATACAATCAACAATATATTTAGTGGGTCCCACTACCAGTTCGCCTTCTAAATCCTTGATTTGTTTCTCTAACAGTTCTATTTCAACCCTCCTTGCTTTTGCCTTTTTCCGCGAGTATGTTATAATAAATTCTCTCATTTTCATCTTTAAAAAATCCCAAAATACTAATTTATTCAAAATCTGTAATGACCATTCAGCTTTTAATTCCTGTATTTCCTTATTCATCTCTTCAACAAAATCTTTATCCATACATAAACTACTGTTAAATTTCCAATATGATTTCCCCAAAACAAACTTATCAACCAGATCATTAAATTCTAGCCTAACGCCAGAATGATCTGGCGTAATAGATGTCAAAATCTCACACGTACCCACCAATTTTTCAACACTACAAGGTATAAACCAATAATCTAAACGGCTTTGCACCACCGGCCAATTTTGTCGAAAAGTAAATTGCTTTACATTCGGATTTTTTTCCCTCCATATATCTTCTAAATCGTATTTATTTAAAAATTCCTTAATCAAATCAATAACCCGAGATTTCACCGGTGTTTTTGACCCCACATAATCTAATTTTCCATCCAATATACTATTGAAATCACCTCCTAATAAAACTAAATAGTCCCGATCACACTGATCAAAAATACTTTCATCTAACTTCTTCAAAAATTCAATTTGTAAAGTTTCTTTATCTCTCGTTGGAAAATAAACATTAACCAATAGCATTTTAACCCTTTGTATTTCACCTTTAAAAATAATGTATCTCCCCTCTTCATCTACTTTAATTTTTTTTTCTTCAAAATCTAAATGATTAGAAAATAAAATAAGAACCCCTCTACTATGGTTTGACCCATGACTAAAAAACATTGGCCCTCCCCAATCTTGTTTCCACCGCTCTTCTATCTCTACTGTACTATATGTTTCTTGTAAGAAAATTATACTATTCTTTTTAGTTTTGCACCATTCAAAAATATTCACTCTTTTTAACCTATCTCTTATTCCTCTAACATTTAATGTCATGAAAGATAATTTCACTGCCATGTTATTTTATGTGTAATTGTATCCAAAACCTTACATCGATAAACTCCAAAGAAACTTCCACATAATCTATTTCCACCGCAGACACACACACACACAAACAAAAGAGACCTCAGGCCATTTGATGGTAACAGTTAAATTTGACTGATTGCCATATAACACTTAATACAAGAGTGGAAAAATGTTTCATTCTCTTTCCCATTCCTGTTGAGCCCCCCCCCCCCCCCCATCGGTACCTACGATTTAAAGAATACAACATTTTGCCTATGCCCGCCCCCCCCCCATTACTCTTTCCCATTCCTGTTGACCCCCCCCCCATCGGTGCCTACTAAGAATACAACATTTTGCCTATGCCCGCCTCCCCCATTACTCTTTCCCATTGCTGTTGAGCCCCCCCCCCCCCCCCTCATCGGTGCCTATTAAGAATACAACATTTTTCCTATACCCCCCCCCCATTACTATTTCCCATTCCTGTTGAGCCCCCACCCCCCTCATCGGTGCCTACTAAGGATACAACATTTTGCCTATGCCCGCCCCCCCCCCATTACTCTTTCCCATTCCTGTTGACCCCCCCCCCCCATCGGTGCCTACTAAGAATACAACATTTTGCCTATGCCCGCCCCCCCCCCCCCCCATTACTCTTTCCCATTCCTGTTGAGCCCCCCCCCCCGCATCGGTGCCTACTAAGAATTTAACATTTTGCTTATGCCCGCCCCCCCCCCCATTACTCTTTCCCATTCCTGCTGAGCCCCCCCCCCCCTCATCGGTGCCTACTAAGAATACAACATTTTGCCTATGCCCGCCTCCCCCCATTACTCTTTCCCATTGCTGTCGGAACCCCCCCCCCCCTCATCGGTATCTACGATTAAAATAATACAACATTTTGCCTATGCCCGCCTCCCCCCCCCCCCCCCATTGTTCACCCCCGTAGTTATGTTTAGGGCGGCTTTAGGGCCTAAATCAGATTAGAATGATCGTCGTTTACTGTAAATTTGTAGCAGCCCAAAGTCAAGCACCGCATAGACCGACCCCTTCCTTGGAATAATTTTTTTTTTTTTAATTGTATAAATAATAATAAAGATGAATTGTTGGTGACTGCGAACACAAACTTTGTTATTAAAAAAGTAATAAAAACAAAGAAAGAAAGGAAGCAAGACAGAAAAAAGATAAACAATCGTCATAATAATTATATTAGTGATAATAATGATGGTAACCAAACAAATAATAAAAATAATATTAACGATAATAAAAATAATAGTAATAATTGTAATAAAATAATATTAAAATAATATTACATGTAATAGTATCAATAATAATATATTGACAGATCAGTGGTAATTAAGTAACTGAAATCACAACATTTATATATGGAAAGAAACAAGGGAAAAGGAAAGAAAATGGAAAGCTAAGAAAGAAAGAATACAAAAGTAAAACTGAATGAACAGAAAGCAAGATAATAATAATAATAATAATAATAATAATATGTCTTTTTTACCCAGGGTAGCCTCATCAGTATTCATACTGTTCTCCCTGAGGGCCGGGCCGGGCCCTGTAATAATTATAACAGATAAAGAAAGTAAAGGGAAAATGAGGAAAAGAGAAGAGAAAACATAACAATGTGAATGAAACTGCTTACAGTACAGTAATGGGCGGTAGCTTCAGTCTTCATCGGTCCACTTCAGGTCCAATACCGCGCGTACATTAAGCCTTACGGACGCACATTCCATAATTTATCGGATGATCTCGATTTATAAGTGCGAACTGGCGAGACGTGGATTAGACTCTAAAAAACATCAAAAATCTTTATTGGGAGTGTCAAGTGATGTAGCCGGAGAAAAGTGCCTTCGTTTGGCTTCTTTGGCTAATGAACAAATATTCATCTCTTCTTGTTCTTCAGTACCTATCACAGTGGCAGAGAAAATGAATTTCTTGTAAGTAAACTCTCGTCGATGATGACGTTATTTCGTTGATAAGTGACGGGCGTCTTTGGGCTGACCAGGCTGAACAGGCAAATTGCGCTGCCAGAGCTAAGGCGGAGGCAAGTCCTCCATCGCCGCTAGCGCATAAAGGGAGCGCGGATACATTGACATTGTTCCAGCCTTGGCCTTGTCTCAGATTGACCACTAAATTGATATTCAAATATTTACTAATGTTTTGATGTTTATAATTACTCACATGCTGTATCATAAATTGGCAAGATCAAGGACGGTGACTCATTGTTTTCAGTCAGTGTAATTTTTACAATCTGCACAAGATCATACTACTACTACGCACTTGCTCAGTTGCTGACTTGGTTGGTCGTTTACTTATAAGTTTTTGTTTTACTAGTTTTAGTTTTAATCTTTACTCTTAAACTTAGCTTAAGTTTTAACAAAAAGTTAGAAAAATAGAACTTAAAAGTGGAACCATACTTGACAATTGACACAGATCTATAGTATAGTGTCGGACTCGGAGACAACCATGATGGTTAACTTAGTTTTTGACGTTCAATGATTCCAATCATATTTGCTGAGAATGTTATGCAAAAACAAATGTACGGAATTATCATGGAATATAAGAATCTGCCACTGGGATACTCATTTACTAATGATGTAGTGATTCATTGCTTGTAATGCCTTTGAGGGATTCCGCCTCCCCATAGACTTTAACAATTACACGCAAATGTGTGAAGACACTCGAGCAGGCAGTGGCTTACAGTATTTCATGAGACGGACGTACAAGTGTACTTTTTGATTTTATTGCATATTTATGTGTGCCATTCATTATATCCCATGTGATTGTTTTATGACATTTTATTATTGATAGGCCCTAAGGCAAGGTTGATGTGTAAAGTTATAAACTCAAATTACTCAATAATATTCCTACAAGTAGTTTCCATTCCTGCCTGCAGAAACCTGTACAGAATCTTTATTCAGTCTTCTGATATCGCTCACATTCTGTTACTCAGCTGCATTACATTTTAGAAATAAAATTGGTGACCCGACTCTTAGATTTTGTCTAGATTTATTGAAATACATATAGGATTCAGATAGTGATAGGTCACGAAGGGAAGAAAACACAGGTAGAAAAGGAAAGTTGTCACCTTTTTTTTTTTATTAGCAAATGTATCTGCATTTATTGATAAATCAAATATAAAACATTCAAATAACAATAATAGTATATAATATAATTGGTTTACATAAAGAGTGACAACTTAATACACACAAAATAAAAATGCATAATTAAAAAGCTTGAAAGTATGGGGGTAAGTAAAAAATAATCAAGATAAATGCAGAGGCCAACTATCATGAGCAAGGATGCTTGAGTCGATAGCCGGGAAGAGGGGGGGGGGGGGTACATGGCGCTGTTGGTGTAGGTGAATAGAGAATCACGTATATAGATTTTGTTCAGAAAGTATCTGAATAAAAAATGAAAAGAAATTAAAGAAATTAACATTAATGATCCAGAAAATACACAAAGGCAAAGAAGACGATATGTTGTACCTTTCCCGACTCTTAATCCTTATCTGTATTCAGTCCCCCTCCTGCACAAAGCGTGGAAGCTTAGACGCTTCATTAAATTATTAGAGAAAGAAGACGATTTGTTGTACCGTTCTCGACTCTTAATCTTTAATTTGAACTCAATTTCCCCCTTCCCGCGCGAATCACAGAAGCTTTGACGTTTCATTAAATTATTAGAAAAAAAGAAGACAATTCGGTGTACCGTTCTTGACTCCATTGCCCTTTTTTCTTCCTACGTCCTCTTACTTTTTTTCTTCTCTTTCTCTTTCTCTTTTTTTTTTCGGTCCGGCGTTTTTTTGGGAGCGACCGCCCCCACCGCCCCCCCCCCCCCTGGCTACGCGCCTGCCTTTTGATAGGAGGTATATATTTGAGTGATATGAAAATAAAAAAACAAAAAATAAAAAACGGGGTAGCTCTCTAGGTGTCGAACAAACGATCGACAGAGTCTTCTAATTGCGCAAATTTGATTTATGTTTTTTTAGTGCATGTTATTTCCAGCAATTTAAAAAAAAGGACAATCCAACCTTTATGATAAGTTCAAAGGCAGGAAAATAAGAGAAAAAGAATGAGCGAATGGCGAAAGTTTGAGAAGAAAAAAAATCAGACCAATAATGAAAGGGGAATGAATGTTTGAAATATGAAACTTTTACACATTTCAATATTCTGTTATGCAAGTTATTGGGAAATGTTTTTGGTGTTATTCCGATTTCTGACAAGTTATTTTGCAAATGTAGACCAAATACAAAATTGAGGGAATTTTCTTGTTTGAGTTGTTTCTTTTTGTACTAGATCAAAATAGTGAAATGGTTTTAGTGAGGGAAATAGAAACACAGCATGGTTTTGCTGTGGGAAAAAGTTTTAGTAATTATAGAGCTCTGGGAAACTACAGGTGTAAATGCTAAAAAAGGATCTAAATCAAAACATTAAAATAATATTAAAAACCACTGTGAGAATATCACACTTTTACAATTTAGCAAAAGCAAACAGAGCTCTTTTGAACAAAAAGGTATTTTGTTACACTAAATGCCTTTGCTTAGAAGATTGCCACTGTGTAAATGGGACCCTGCTGAGAACATTTCTTCCCTATTCTAACATACATGTAAGATGCATTTACACTGCAAGCAAAATCATTGATTTTCTCACATTCCAGTGTTTCGTCAACACAACTAAAAAAAAAAATTGAATCATCCACCTCTGGACTCTTGAGTGTTTTTTTTTAAATGCCTGCTGAAATTTAAAAAAAAATTGTGAAAAGTGAAACAATCTGGTACGATGCTTGTTTTTTGTGATGTGTCTCTCCTTGCTTCTGTGTGATGGCACGCAGAGTAGCGACACGTCAGACATGTGCACTACTCACCGAAAAATCAATATGAACTTACACCAATGTTTTTTTATGGGTTTTTCTAGTAGTATAAATGGCAGTTCAAAATATTGTTGATTTTTTCAAAATGGTGTTTGAGATGTGTAAATGGGCCTGTAGACTACTTTTATGTGTGAACACATCTCATGGGGTGTCGTCATGTAGCTATCTATGTAGGTCAACCAACTGAAATCCGATGATCGATTCAGCTCTTCATCACTGTCTAGTGGTTAGAAGAGTTTGCTATACTTGTCTTCATGAGTCATGCCCAGACTTCGTCATGAACTGAAAGAACAATCATGTGTTTGTTATGCCTCCGCCACCGAAGGTGGTGCCGGAGGCATCATGTTTTCGGGTTGTCCGTCCGTACGTCCGTACGTCCGTCCGTACGTCCGTCCCGTTTGACCGTTATCACAATATCTCAAGAACCATTTAAGATTTAAACTTAAGACTCGGGAATAGTATTTATCACCATAGGAAGACGATCTGATTAGATTTTGGAGTACGTAGGTCAAAGGTCACAGGTCACAGAGGTCAACTTATGAAATTCCTTGTATTGAGTTTGTTAGCGCGATATCTCAAGAACCATTTGAGATTTAAACTTCAAACTTAAGGATAGTATGTATCACCATAGGAAGACGATCTGAATAGTTTTTGGAGCACGTAGGTCAAAGGTCAAGGGTCATAGAGGTCAACTTATGAAATTCCATACATTGAGATTGTTATCATGATATCTCAAGAACCACTGGAGATTTAAACTTCAAACTTTGATAGTGTGTATCACTATAGGAAAACAATCTGATTACGTTTTGGAGCACGTAGGTCAAAGGTCAAGGGTCATAGAGGTCAACTTATGAAATTCCATACATTGAGATTGTTATCATGATATCTCAAATCACTGGAGATGTAAAAACTTCAAACTTAAGGATAGTATGTATCACCATAGGAAGACGATCTGATTAGATTTTGGAGCACGTAGGTCAAAGGTCAAGGGTCACAGAGGTCAACTTATGAAATTCCATACATTGAGATTGTTATCATAATATCTCAAGAACCACTGGAGATTTAAACTTCAAACTTAATGATAGTGTGTATCACCATAGGAAGACAATCTGATTAGATTTTGGAGCACGTAGGTCAAAGGTCAAGGGTCACAGAGGTCAACTTATGAAATTCCATACATTGAGATCGTTATCGCGATATCTCAAGAACCACTGGAGAATTTTCACTTCAAACTTAATGATAGTATGTATCACCATATCATAATATCTCAAGAACCACTGGAGATTTAAACTTCAAACTTAATGATAGTGTGTATCACCATAGGAAGACAATCTGAATAGATTTTGGAGCACGTAGGTCAAAGGTCAAGGGTCACAGAGGTCAACTTATGAAATTCCATACATTGAGATTGTTATCATGATATCTCAAGAACCACTGGAGATTTAAACTCCAAACTTGTTTAAATTGCTCTATGGCGGAGGCATCATTTTCGACTGCGCGCAGTCAAAATTCCATCTAGTTTGAGTATGAGAACAGTATGAATAGATTGGATGCTTCATTTAAAGCAACATGTTTCTAGTAAACCAGTGGAGAAAAACAAATCAAGTGGAAAGAAAGTAAGAAACTCCCATGATTAGTGAGGGATTTAGCTCTATCAAGTTCTAAAAGAGCTCAACTTGAGAGGCAAAAAAAGAAATATACATCTTCTTTTGAAGGTGCATTTTGGCATTGTAATTTTTCCAAGAGCATATTTTCTGAAAGATCCCCTACCCATTTACCCCCCAAAAGTATTTTTACACTGTAGTAAACATCTTATAATTATAGCCTATGGTACTCAATGCCGACATTGATTTTAGGAGCAGTCTTCTATTGTTATGAAATCAATCAGCATTCATATAAAAGAAAGGAACGTAAAGGATCGTATTCGTGGGTAGTCTTCTACATTGAAAAGAAAAAGAAAGTGACGTTTTCTGTTTGACATTCCATTTAGACATGATGTGGTTTGACCACTTTTCATTCTGAATCATGGGCTGAGATTATATCCATGTTCACACTTGCACTTAAAATT